TTCTTCTATAGTATTAGAGTGCTCTTTAAACCATCATCACAAGACTACAACTCTTTTTTAACTCTATTTCAATGTTTAACAATATGTGTACAGTACTCTAAAAAGATTTTTATAAAGTTTAATATATTAACTATATCATTTTTCTGTAATATGGCTTTTTAGAAAGTTCAGTTTAAGTGATCATTAAAAAGAGTAATGAATTTTTTTTTAAAGACTAGTTATTATTTTTTCTTGATTTGTCTTAATTATTTTACATTACTTATTAATATTTTCTTTTATTTGTCTTCTTTATACTCATTTTTATTCCTTTTTATTTTTTTTTTTTAATAGCTTTTGCTATTTCTTTATGTTTTTTATTCAGGCATTTAATTATTATTTTTGTAATTTTGACAGCTTTGCACTTATTTTTTTGGCTAGTGCTTTTATTTATTTATTTACTTACTTCTTTCTTCTTTTGTTACTTCTTTGTTTTTTTGTCTTTGTATATTTAATTAATCTTTGAAGTTTTACAATATCTTTTTTCTACTATTGTTCTTTTTGGCTTATTTTTTTGTTTGTTGTATTGTATATATTTTTTTTGAATATATATTTATTTGCTACTATAATAATTACTTCTTCTATTGTATCTTATATATAATTTATTTTTCCTATACATTTCTTATTATTTTGCTTTTTTTTTAAATGTTTTTTAGAATTTTTTTTATTTCTAATTATTTATATAACTTTTGTATATAGTTTTTTTAGTTTTTTATTTTACTTGATTATATAAATATAAGTTCTTAATTGTTTTTTTCTTTATTTCTTCAATGTTTGTCTTTTATAAACTCAAAGTCAGTTCTTCTAATACCTATATGTAGTCAATTCTTGTTACTATTTCTTTACTTGACTATATGTTTCTATATATATTTATGAAGTTTTGTTTTCTTAACTAATTAAAAATCAACAGTTTTCTAAAACTTACTAGTTGTAAATATTATCTGTCTAGTATATTATTTACTATATAATTAAAGTTACTTATAATTACAATTTGTATTTGTCTTTTTTTTCTTGCAACTATTTTTATAATTTTTTATAGAAAGTTTTTTTCTATTGTCTTGTTATTTGGTAATATATAGACTTCTATCACTACTAGCCAATTGTTAAAATATAAAATAATCTCTATTATGTATTTACTTATTTTTTTATCTATATCTATATGTTTTTTATATTATTCTTTTACTAAAATTCTTATACTTAAATCTTTTTTCTTGTCTTCTATTATATTTATTTAGTATTCTAAATATTTTTTGTTTGCAACATATATTAAAAATTATTTTTTACTTTTTATAAGATTTGTTTTTATAATTTTCAATATTACAATTTCTTTTTTTTTTGCTTAACTAAGCAGGTTTTCAAGTTTTTAACTTTTAGTTTTTAATCTGTTAATGTTATAACATTATTTTGATTTTTTTTTTCATTTTTCTTTTAATTACTTTTATTTTATTTTTATATTTTTAGTTCTTTTTTTAGATCTTTTCTTTTTTTAGACTAAATAATTTTTTTTTCTTTCTTCAAATACTTTTTTTTTATTTTGCAAAAAATTTTTTATTTTCTTATTTGTATTTTTAAATTCAATTAAAACACTCTTAAAAGCAATTAGTCAGACCTTTTTTTGTATCTAGCTATATTTTTTCTATTCTGTCTAGTCTATTTAAAATTTGGTATAAAATATCTTTTACTAATAATATTCTTATCAAACAATAAACTTGTCAAAAACTCTTCTCAACAATCACTCAGATACAAAATAACTAAAAGGAAAAAATAAGATTTTTGCAAAATCGACAATAAAAAACATCTTAAATAGCATTAGACAAAAAGAAGCAGTAACATAAAAAGCAATAAAAAGTATAGAAGAAAAGTGTGCTGCAAAACTAATAGTATAGCTACAAAGAAAAGAAAAAAAACTTAAAAAATTTTTGCTCAAAAATAACAACAATAAGAAATTGTTAATAGATCCTGTACATAAATCTGTTTACATTATACAGAAACATGAAACAGCAAAACAAAAACAAATACATCAAATTAGAATTAATAAACAGATTATATAACAAATAAATAAAGTTTGTATAAGAAAAATGAAGTAAATAAAAAAATTGAAGAACCAATCAGAAACACATAGATATAAGTACAACATGAAACTGTAAAGATATAGAGAAAGTCTATCAACAATCTTTATGAGAAGAGCATACTGGGCAATGAACAGAATACACAACAAAATATTCTTCAACCAGTCAAGTAAGACATACATAATGCCAGATAGAGAAGATAAGATTGTTGCAATGCTTACAAAACAAAAACCAAAAGAAGTTGCACCGCTAAGAATAACAAGAGAATTAATCAAAAAAGTAGAAAAGAGCAATCAGAAAAGAAGTTAGAATTTACAGAGCAAGACAGAAACATGATGACAATCGAGCTCAAAAAAAAAGACAAGCAAGAAAAAGAAGAATTAGCATAACAAAAAGCAACAAAGAAAAAGGAAGAGCAAGAAAAAAGTCATAAAGAAGACCAAAAAATTGAAAGAAAGACAGAAAAAGAGAATATAAACAAAAGAAAATTATTAGATAAGAACCTCTTGACAATAAAAAATGCAAAAACAAAGGTAAGTATTAGAAATACAAATCAAATAGAAGAGTAAATATCAGTACAGATAATAGAAACCAAAAAAGAACAAATGAAAGAAACAAAACAAGAAGATATAGAAATAGATAATAAAAAATTAAGACAAGGCTCAACAACAGAAGAAAAAGAAAGAGAAAAAAGGAGAAAACAAGAAGTTGAGAGAAAAATAGATATAGTAGAAATTTCTTTAAAAGAAAGTATATAGATATCAAGCAAAAGGAATTAAAAAAAAATAGCAGTCTATTAGCTAACATACCAGATACAATATACCAGAGAGGATGAAAGAAGAACATATAAAGTTTATCAGCTGGTTATTAAAAGACAATAAACATATTAAGAACATTAAAGAAGCCTTCAAACAAGAAAATTTGTAGATCAAAGTAGATTTTGATTGTAAATATGGCAGAAATGAGGCAATACAAAGAATTAGTAAAAAAGAAAGCAACTAGTACAGAATAATACCAGAAGAAGACAAAAAAGAAAGAAGAAAAAAGCAAAAGAAATATGAGAAAGAAAACTAATATAAAAGAACCAATATACCAGAATATAAGAAGAAAAAATACAGAAAAAAAAGAAGTAAAAAGAAACTAGAAGAAGACCAAAAAGACATTAATGATAAAGAAACAAAAAATAAAAAATTCATAACAATTTGAAACTTGCCAGCAAGTATAAATAAAAAAGAACTAGAATATATTTGCAGAAGATTTAAAAAAATACAGGTAGCAAAAATAAAAAGATCCAAATTTAAGTCTTTTGCAATAATCCAAATAAAAGAAATAGAAAAAGAAAGCACCCCATGGTCTATACCAGTGTTATAAAACGATTTATTATTATTTTATTATTATTATTATTATTATTATTATATTATTATTAGTATTAGTTATTTTATTATTGTATTATTATTATTATTAGTAGAAGTTGCCGGAACATTCTGGTTAATTAGTAATTGCTTAGTCACTTAGTCGCTTAGACGCTTAGTCGCTTAGTCACTTAGTCGCTTAGTCACTTAGTTGCTTAGTAATTAGTTGCTTAGTAATCATTAGTCATTAGTTGCTAGAACCTTTCGGTTGCTTAGTAATCACTTAGTCGCTTAGTCACTTAGACACTTAGTCGCTTAATCGCTTAGTCGCTTGGCTGCTTAGCCACTTAGCTCACAGATATATAAACCCTGCTAAATTCCCCAAGTGCGATTAAGCAACAGACACCCCTCTTCCCTTTAATATTGTAAACACATCTTGGGATTCTTTAGGAACAGAAACCTAAGGATAGCCCTTCTTGTTATTACTTTAATAAATGACTTTTGACTATAAACTGTATTGATACTCCCCCTTTAGGGTAATTTCTACAAGCAAGGTTTATCTTCTCTTAGTGAAATAAAGTAAAGTTACAAGTATTGCATTACCTTTCCCAAACTGCCTCAGAGAAGGGCATAGTTTCTTGACAATGTCTAACAAAAGCTATACTTCTCTCTTAGATACCGCATATACCCGTAAGGGATTCTCTATGCTGTGTCGTCGTTATAGTGTAAAAATCAAGAAGGCTTTCACCTATAACAATATATTAATACAGTTTTAATTTTTTAATTTATTTTTTATCTTTTATTTTTATTTTTATTTTAATTTTTATTTATTTTTTATATACCAATTAGAGTTCCAAACTATAACCTAGGTAACTGTGTACCTAATGACCCAACCCATAAAATTTACTAACCAGTTTATTTTTTTGATAAATGGGTAATCCGTTTATATCAGATGACCTGTTTTACAGTGAGTAATATTATAATAAGCAGGTAACCTGTTTTACAGTAGGTAACACTATAATAAGCGGGTGACCTGTTTTACAATAGGTAACACTATAATAAGCAGGTAACCTGTTTTACAACAGGTGACCCAGTTGGTAAATATATAATTGATCAACTCAATTTATATTACCAACTGGTTTAAAAATAAAGTTTAAGATAAAGTTAATACTAGGCCATATAAAGTTAATTTTTTGATATAAAAAAGATCTGCTTATTTTATTTTCAAAAAAAAATTCATACATACTAGTACAGTATAAAAATTTTTCTTTGGTTTTTTTTTAAAAAAAACCACCCGATAGTAAAATTGACCTGGCCAGTTATGCAAACCAAAAAATTAACTTTGATTGGCCTTATATAATATAATAATTAATAATGTTTTTTTTCTGGTATAAAAACCTCTTAATTTTTAAGTGTTTTTTTTTTTTGATTTTTGGAAAACACAACTTTTATAAAAATCATGCTGTTTTTTAAGTCATAAACAAAACATCTTTACTTGCAGCATTAAATGAGTTATGTTCAGAACTTTGTAATAAATATAGCCATGCCTTGGTCATCGTCTACCAGTAGCTCAAAAAACAAAAAAAAAAGCTACTCATAGTTTGTTGAACACTAAATATTAAGTGTATCACAATAGAACAGATAAATTTTTTAAAATCATGATGCATACAAAAAATTAAGCACTATGCAATTAATATTATAAAACTAATAGGTATATCTATCAAGATAAGCATTTCAACTTCAACATCTGATTATATGGATGATGATGATATATATTCTGTAGATGTATATGATGAACTACTTAGATCTGATGAATCGCCTATATATAACGATAAAAAATAAAATAAAAAAAACATGACAATTGTAGTATCGTGTGGGATCATTTTATAGTTGAGACAACAAAAAAAGACACTTTTGATGTTTGCCAAATCTGTAAAGAAAAAACATTGATGTTAGGTATGTGCATGACTCTTCAGCAGGAAATATGCTTGGTCATCTTTGGTCTAAGCACTGAATAGATAAAGACTACTCTAAAAAAGCAAACAATAATAGTTCAATTGTCAAAGTTATGCATTTCATTAGTAAATAGAGGCAAGACAAAATAGTACAGCTATTGGTCAAATTTATTATTGAAGATTGCTAACCTCTTCATATTTTATGTAACCAAGCTTTTCACTAGTTGTTAAATTATATCGAAGCAGGCTTTCATATTCCTTATGAGCAGACTGTGAAAAAAAAGATTGACAAAGCTTATAATTAAAGTTATAATCAATTATTTGGTATGATGAATACTGATAGTGGATTCATTAATTTAACAACAGATATGTAGAGTTCAAGAACAAATCAAGGGTACATTGAAGTGATGGCAACATGGATTGATTCAAGCTTTGAATTAAAAGAGGCTTTATTAACAATCTGACTGCTTCACTTACTACATACAGCCGAAGCTATTGAAGACTCTTAGTCAAGTTATCACTGATTGGAAACTCACAGGACGAATTTTTTGCATCACAACTGACAATGAAGCTAATGTTAAAAAGGCGATTGGCTTAATAAACAATACTATATGATTATCTTGCTCTGCTTATATGCTTCAACTAAGCATGCTAAAAAGTCTTAAACCTGCAATACAATTAATTAAAAGAGCAAAGAATTTAATTATTTTTTTTTCTCAAAGTTCTAAACAATCTGAATGACTTAAAGATATGCAAGAAAAATGTAGATATTTAAAAATTTATCAACCAATTAATGATATACCAATAAAATGAAATTCTTCATATTTAGCTTGGGTTTAGCTTAGAGAGTTACGAAAGGTAATTGATTACCTTGTTTTAATGTTGCTTTCAGAATCAGAATGGTGTAACAAATTTGATAGTGAGTATTTGAAATTAATCAACCTAACTGAAAATGAATAGCAATTGTTAGATAGTCTTATCCTATTATTGAAACCATTTTACAAAGCTACCAATATATTTTCTGGTTCAAGCTATCCTACTCTTAACCTCATTTATCTAACAATAAGATTGCTTATTAGAAAATTCATACTTTCTCGTGAACAACCCAAAGATGATTATGCTGAATTATTATTTGAACCTATTTGGTATATAAAAAGTTTTTCTTAGCATTAAATCTTACTTTTTAGAAATATGTAGCACTACCAGACTTCAGAATTTAAATTTATAAATATTAGAAAACTGAAATCTGGTTTATTTTTTTATTTTTAGTCCAAGTTAACCAACTAATGATGAAAATTCTAATGAACTCGATATAGAAGATGAATTTGATATACAAATAATTTCAGAGCAACTTTATCAACCATTACAAGCATTACAAGAATGAATGAAGAAACAAAGTCATAGCAAAATTAAAAAAAATATATATCCAAATAATGACACATGATTTAAAGGGCATCGATTAATAGAGCCTCCTGTTACTACTGAAGACCTATATGATTTAGTTAAAGCTGCAAGTTATCTTTTTCTTCAAAGATATTGGGAAACTCTTAAAGAAATTAGGCTTATAGCATTATTTTTGGATCCAAGAATTAAGCATTTGAAGTTTTTTAGTGATAAATTAATGAAGAGAACTATAATTAATAGGGTGTAAACACTTTGTAATGAAGAAAAATACTACCAGTTCTCAGTTGAGCTTGACAAGTCACCTATTATGTCAACTCTCGAACTCACAACAACTAATGACTTAATTGCAGCTTTATATAGTAGTAAAGAACCTAATAATGAAATTCTTAATAAAACTGAAGTTGACTGTTACTTTCGTGAACTTGCTGAGAAAATAGGCTGTAATCCACTAGCATGGTAGAAAAATAGATCTAAAATGTATTCTGCACTATTAATTTAGCTCGAAAATACTTGTCAGTGCCATCAACATCAGTCCCCTCAAAGCAATTATTTTCAGATACTAGATTACACATTACAGCATTATGTAACAGGCTTTATCCAGATATGGTTAAGCAAATAATGTTCCTTAAATGTAATATGCAGCATTTTCCTATTTTTAAACTAGATGAATTATAAATATGTACATAAAACAGCTATATCAAAAAAAAAAAAAAAGTACTTATCATTATATAATAGTATGCAGCTCAAATATACTTAATTGGATAATGAAGTTGAAATTAAGGTTGTACATAAAAAGAAAAAACTATTTCTATATACAATAATATATATAGTATAAGTATATAATCTTTTTTGTCTTGTGCTTTAATTTTTTTTTAATCAGAATTGCATAGGGATGCCATCATTTTGTAACTGTCAATTACAAAATAATAAATAAGAATTAAAATAATTGAATATGAATTGGTATATAAAAAATAAATAAAAAATAAAAATAAAAATAAAAGATAAAAAATAAATTAAAACTATATTAATGTATATTGCACATTGATAAAAAAACTGATATGGTTTTTGGTAACCGAATGACCTAAATTATATACAGGTAATCGAGTTACTCAGATTACATATAGGTAATCAGGTAACTAGGTCATCTAAATTACATATGGATAATCAGGTTACCTGAATTATATAAGAGTAACTGAGTCACCTGAATTACATATGGATAATTGGGTAACTGGGCCACCTGAATTACATACAGATAATTAGATAATCAGATCATCTGAATTATATATGAGTAATTGGTTAACCAGGTTATCTGAATTACATATGGGTAATCAGGTAACTGGGTCACCCGAATTCTATACATGTAATCAGATAACTGAGTTATTCAATTTTAATTTAGTTATCCAGTTGGTTGCTAGTCTTAACTCGACAGGTCACAGATTTAAAATTTCAAACCGGTTTGGAACTCTAATACCAATTCATATTCAATTATTTCAATTCTTATTTATTATTTTGTAATTGACAGTTACAAAATAATGACATCCTTATGCAATTCTAATTAAAAAAAAATTAAAGCACAAGACAAAAAAGGTTATATACTTATACTATCTATATTATTGTACATAGAAATAGCTTTTTGTTTCTACATACAACCTTAATTTCAATTTTATTATCCAATTAAGTATATTTGAGCCACACATTATTATATAATGATAAGTACTTTTTTTTTTGATATAGCTGTTTTATATACATATTTATAATTCATCCAGTTTAAAAATAGAAAAATGCTGCATATTATGTTTAAGGAACATTATTTGCTTAACTATATCTGAATGAAGCCTGTTACATAATGCCATAATGTGTAATTCAGTGTCTAAAAATAATTGCTCTGAGAGGACTGATGTTAATAAAACTGACAAGTATTTTTGAGCTAGATTTGATAGCATAAGATACATTTTAGATCTATCTTTCTATCATGCTAATAGATTACAGCCCATTTTCTCAGCAGGTTCACAAAGGTAACAGTCAACTTTAGTTTCATTAAGAATTTTATCATTAGGTTCTTCGCTACTATATAAAGCTGCAATCAAGTTATTAGTTGTTGTAGGTTCGAGAGTTGATATAGTAGGTGACTTGTTAAGCTTAACTAAGAGCTAATAGTATTTTTCTTCATCACAAAGTGTTTACACCCTATTAATTATAGTTCTCTTCATTGATTTATCACTAAGAAACTTCAAATGCTTAATTCTTGGATCTAAAAATGATGCTATAAGCCTAATTTCTTTAAAAGTTTTTCAATATTCTTAAAGAGAAAGATAACTTGCAGCTTTAACTAAATCACATAGGTCTTCAGTAATAATAGGGGGCTCTATTAATCGATGCTCTTTAAATCATATATCATTATTTAGATATGTATTTTTCTGTGACTTTGTTTCTTTATTCATCCTTATGATGCTTGTAATAGTTGATGAAGTTGTTTTGAAATTATTTGTATATCAAATTTACCTTCTATATCAAGTTTATCAGGATTTTCATTATTGGTTGATTGACTTGGGCTAAAAATAAAAAAATAAACCAGATTTCAGTTTTTTAATGTTTATAAATTTAAAATTCTGAAGTTTGGTAGCATTACATATTTCTAAAAAGTAAGGTTTAATGCTAAAAAAAACTTTTTATATACCCAATAGGTTCAAATAATAATTCAGCATAATTATCTTCAGTTTGTTCATGAAAAGGTGTGAATTTCCTAATAAGCAATCTTATTGTTGGATAAATGAGATTAAGAGTAGGATAGCTTGAACCAGAAAATATATTAGTAGTTTTGTAAAATAGTTTTAATAATAAAATAAGACTATCTAACAATCATCATTCATTTTCAGTTAAGTTGATTAATTTTAAATACTCATTATCAAGTTTGTCACATTATTTCGATTCTGAAAGCAACATCAAAACAAGGTAATCAATCGCTTTTCATAACTCCCTAAGCTGAACTTAAGCTAAATATAAAGAATTCTATCTCATTGATATGTCATTAATTGGTTGGCGAATTTTTGAATATCTACATTTTTCTTGTGCATCTTTAAGTTATTTAGATTGTTTAAAACTTTGAGAAAAAAAAAAAATTAAATTCTTTACTCTTTTAATTAATTGTATTACAGGTTTAAGACTTTTTAGCATGCTTAGTTGAAGCATATGAGCAGAGCAAAATAATCATATAATATTGTCCATTAAGCTAATCATCTTTTTAACATTAGCTCCATTGTTAGTTGTAATGCAAAAAATTTGTCTTGTAAGTTTCTAATCAGTAATAACTTGACTAAGAGAGTCTTTGATAGCTTTGGCTATATGTAGTAAAAGATGCAGTCAGATTGTTAATAAAGCCTCTTTTAATTCAAAGCTTGAATCAATTCATGTTGTCATCTAGGGTTCAAAGCATAGGAAAAAAATTGGGCATGTTCATATGGACATGCCTCTGAGCTAAGGCATGTCCCTCATGCCCATAGGCATGCTCTTTTTAAATCATATAATTAACACATAGTTTACAACTTCTTAAAAATCTTACATGTTGATTTAGTATCTACAGTTCTAGTTTACCTGAACTTATTAGCCAATTAAAATAACTTTAAATATTACATGATAAGGGCATGCCTTTTGGACTTGAGGCATGCTTATAGGCATGCCCTAGAGGCATGCCCCATGCCTCTGTGCTCTAAACTCTATTGCCATCACTCCAATGTACACTTGATTTGTTCTTGAACTCCACATATCTGTTGTTAAATTAATGAATCTACCATCAGTATTCATTATATCAAATAATTGATTACAACTCTAATCATAAGCTTTGTCAATTTTTTTTTTCACAGTTTGCTCACAAGAAATATAAAAGCCTACTTTGATATAATTTAACAATTGGTGAAAAGCTTAGTTACATAAAATATGAAAAGGTTGGCAATCTTCAATAATAAATTCGACCAATAGCTGTGCTATTTTGTCTTGCTTCTGTTTACTAATAATATGCATAGCTTTGACAATCGAACTATTATTGTTTGCTTCTTCAGGATGGTCTTTATCTATTCGGTACTTAGACCAAAGATGACCAAGCATATTTTTTATTGAAGAGTTATGCACATACCTAATATCAATGTTTTTTTCTTTGCAGATTTGGTAAACATCAAAAGTGTCTTTTTCTGTTATCTCAATCATAAAATAATCCCATATAATACTATGATTATCACGTTTTTTTCAAATTTTTTTTTTATCATTATATATAGGCAATTCATCAGATCTAGGTGGTTCATTGTATACATCTATAGAATATATATCATCATTATCTATATAATCAGATGTTGAAGTTGAAATGCTCATCTTGACAAATACATCTATTAGTTTTATAATATTAATTGCATAGTGCTTAATTTTTTGCATGCACTATGATTTTGAAAAATTTATTTGTTCTATTGCGGTATACTTAATATTTAGTATTCAACAAACTATGGGTAGCTTTTTTTTTGTTTGTTTTTTGAGCTACTGGTAGATAATGACCAAGGCATAGCTATGTTTATTACAAAGTTCTGAATGTAACCTATTTAATGCTGCAAGTGAAGATGTTTTGTTTATGACTTAAAAAACAGTATAATTTTTATAAAAGTCATGTTTTCCAAAAATCAAAAAAAAAAAAACACTTTTAAAAATTAAAGAGTTTTTATATCAGAAAAAAAATATTATCAATTATTATATTATATAAGGCCAATTAAAGTTAATTTTTTGGTTCGCATAACTGATCAGGTTAATTTTACTATCAGGTGGTTTTTTTTAAAAAAAAACCAAAGAAAAATTTTTATACTATACTGGTACATATGAATTTTTTTTTAAAAATAAAATTAAGTGGATCTTTTTTATACCAAAAAATTAACTTTATATGGCCTAGTATTAACTTTATCTTAAACCTTATTTTTAAACTGGTTGGTAATATAAATTGGGTTGATCAATTATCTATTTACCAATTAGGTCACCTGTTGTAAAACAAGTTATCCATTTATTATAGTGTTACCTGTTGTAAAATGGGTCACCTGCTTATTATGATGTTACCTATTGTAAAACAGATCATCCACTTATTATAATGTTACCTATTGTAAAATGAGGCACCTAATATAAACAGATCATCTATTTATCAAAAAAATAATCCAGTTAGTAAATTTTATGGGTTGGGTTATCAGGTACATGGTTACCCAGGTTATAGTTTGGATCTCTAACTACAGTCACATCAGTATAGCTGGCAAGTTATAAGATATCTATGCAATATTGAAGTTATACAGAAGAATGCAAACTGATATTAAATAATGCAAACTCAAAATAAGTTCTTGTGACTATATAAATCTATAGAACTAAAAAGTTGAAGTCTACTTGAAAAGACCTGAATAGAGAAGTAGTATAGATCTTTAACAATATTACTATAAAAACTAAACCTAGGAAATAAATATTAATATAGAAAGAATCAGGCAAGCAAGAACTTTGGATAAGAGGTACTACTAACTAGAGCACTAAAAGTCTTAAACTAAAAAAAAAAGAACTTAGAAAGGCAAATTTTTGAAATATTAAAAATAGGTCATAATCCTTTCAAGCTATCTGAATTAGAAGTCTAAGAACTAAAGCAAGATATAACTAAGTACTAAGAATATGCTATGAAGTTAGTACTAAAGTTTGAATAAATTTTACAAAGGCAAGCCCTGTTAACAAAAATTAAATATAAGTAGTTAGTTAACAGAAAGGTTTTCTAAAGCCCTACATTTAAATAATATATTCTGAAATATGTAATGACTTAACAAACATACAAACAGGAAGGTCAGGGTTAGGTTAGACAATACCATTTAGATGTACAAAAACTTATACACTATTTGCTAGTGTAGTATAGAGGTTACATTGTACAAGTTATATAATCATAAATAACTAATGACCTTAGCAAAAAAAAAAAAAAAAAAAAAATTTAAAATATTTTTTATTTTTTTAACTTATTTTTGTTATTTAACAAACCTATTTTTTTTTTACTTTTTTGCATTTTTCATATTTTGAAACTTTATAAAAAATCTTTTTCTTGAAACAAAAATCTGAACCTTTGTTTTATTAAAATATTTGTTTGTTTTATATGTTTATTTTTAAGATTTTGTCTTAAAACTTTTATGTTTAAAAGAAAATATATATAAATTTTATGTTTTTTATATTTTGTTTTAAATTGCTTAAATAATAATTTTGCTATAATAGAGTTGGTTAGTACACATCAAAACCTTATAAAAATAAATTGTTCAATATAACCAAATATAAATTTAACTAAAAACATTTTCAACTGCACTCATGATTCATAAATATCTTACACCCCACATACACAATATTCTTACTTCTCCTGGCTATGCTATCGCTATAGACCTCTTCTTCAAACATGATCACAAATTCCGAATTATCTCTGTATATCTACCATGTGAAAACTCACAATTAAGACTTCAAATTCAAAATACCATTATTCAATGGATCCAAGAAGCTACTAATCGAAACATTCTACCTATAATACTAGGTGACTTTAATGTACCACCTAACAACTCAACCTCTTCATCTATCAAATACAAACTACTGCAATTCTTACAATACAATAATATTTATGATCTAGCAGATCATACTAATAC